GGTCTCTATGGGGACCTGCACACACATGGTGCACATAAATTCATAAAGACACACATACATACACATAAAAAATTTTTTCATAAATCACAAAAAAAATCTCAAAATAATCTAACTTTATGATCTTCTGTCTTCTAATTTTTATTAGTATATTTTAATAATACAAAAGGAATTTTACTATGACATTTTTATACATGTGTAAAATGCAATTTGATCACGTTCACAGTTTAGGCCACATCATACAGAACCATCAAGACTCTAGGTTTCGAGCTGGAGCAGAGTAGAGGGAGAGAGCCTTGACTTCTTAGTGCCCTGGCTTGACATTTCTGCTGTGCGAGTCAGCCTTCTGTGACTATAACAGCTACTTAAGAGAGTTAACTTAAAAAGGCAAAAGGTTGACTTTGGCTCACAGTCCTGGAGGCTTCATTCCATGACAAGCTGACTTCAGTACTTCAGTGGGAAGGTAATGCATCATAGCAGCAGAGCATGTTGGACCAAAACCACTCACCAGGTGACTAGAAAATTGAAGAGAAAGTAAGAGACTGGGATCCAACTATCTCCTTCATGGGTGTGGCCCAGTGATTTTAAAACACTCTATTATGCTTAGCCTCTTAGAGTTTCCACCACTTCTCACTAACACTAAGCTGGGGACCAAGTCTAGAACATGTGGACCTTGAGAGGCACTTTTCTAAACCACAGCATCTGCTGAATACAGTATTCAGGCCACTTGACTAGATTTTCAGCTTGGGGCTTTCAAATTGAGAGCTGGGATGGATCTTGGAAAGTCATATCATAACTTAAAAGTAAACTCCCCCTCTTCCTTGTATTACCTTGCAACTTGGAGGCTCAGAGATTATTCTGAATCTCCTAAGGTATTTAATTGCTGAGGTGAGTCCAGAGCTCAAGTTCTTAGGCCTTTGGTCCAGTGGTCCTTCCTTCTCAAGGCTTGCTTTCACCACTGACCCCAGGAGTGCTTGAGGAAGAGCAGTAAGTATGGGGAAGAGAAGGCAACAAGGTGAGTAGAGAAAGCAATTGAAGCTTCTTGAGAAGAGGCTTGGGAGTCAGAGGACGGGGAGTAGCAAACATGACGGGCAAAGATGGAGTTTAGTCGTGAAACAGCCATGGGTGCTGAACTCAGCCAAATACCAAAAATATTAGCTGTGTAATTGGCCTATGCACACTGTAAATATCAGTGGATTTCACAAGGTCATTTGTATACATGTATGTAACATACTTGGACCACATTCCCCTTCATACCCTCTCTCCTCTTCCTTTGATTCAGCAGTTTGATTTTGACTTCTTTCATGCCACAGATGCATAAACATTCTATGCATCTTCAAAAAAATCTAGGATTGACAGATGAGAGAAATTTTTTTTAAAAATCTGTATTCTATCTCTCTCTATATATCATCTATCTCATATTTTCATTTTTGAGACAAGATTGCCTTGTAGCCTCGGCTAGCCTGGAGCTCACTAAGTAGATCAGGCTGACCTTGATCTCACAGAAATCCACCTGCCTCTGCCTTCTGATTATTAAAGGCCTGTGCCACCATGCTCAGAGCCTCACTTCTCTTAATATTATCTCCAATCACATCTATTTTCCTGAAAATGAGAGTTTTGTTCTTCTTTATGGATGAATTAAAGTCCACTGTTTTGGGGTGGGCATCCTCCGAAAAGCCAGAACTGACCTGGGGCAGGTCTAGAGACAGATGCTGAGAGACACTGAGCTGAGGAGAAATACTGAGTACACTGGGGAAAGGGGGCGGGATAACTGGCGTTTTCCACACAGGGAACGGAGCGCAAACTGCGGGAAAGAAGGCGCTAATCTCACAGTTCAGCCAAAATTTTAAAAAGTGGGCCATGGGACTTTGTAATTTACCCTTTTCTGGATGTCATAAACTATGCAAAACCCCCAATAAAAGGTATTCTGTCGGTTTTGTCAGCCCTGGGACCTCAGAGGGCCCACGTGGGTCTCCCAAGAAGGGGGAAGGGAATTTGGCATAAGAACTGTATACATGTACCACATTTTCTTTATCCATGCCTCTGTTGATGAGCACTTAGGTTGATTCTATAACTAATCTATAATGAATAACAAGGCAGTGAACATCAGTGTGCAAAAACCCCTGTGATATATTGGCTTAAGAGGTCCTCAGGTAAATACCCAGGTGTTACACTTTTTCAAATTCCTGGGTGATTCTAATTGAAGGTCAGTGAAACTCTTCAGGTTATAGAGAACTTAGTTCACTGGTTCTCAAAGACTGGTGCTGAACAACAATGTTAATACTACCTAGGAATGTGTTAGGACTTTGGATTCCTGCCCCGACTCAAGGCCTACCAATTATAGGTATTCTAGAGCCTCTGGAGCTGTGTGAAGCAGCCTCCAGATGATTCCAGGGAGGTCTGAATGCCATGACTGTAGTTGCCATGGTTGAATGCTATTGCATTAAATTATGTTTTTTTTTTCAATCTTCTTTTTTCCCCACCTCATTAGAATAAAAGACTCACTATTGGATAATATTAAGCATAAATATAGAAACCAAAGCTATGTGTAATTGAAAGTGTAGTACTTTATGAAGAGGGAGTCTCCTTACCAACTGTGAATTCTTTGTGTCTGTGGTGTGGCCCCTTCTCTGTTTGGCAAGAAGTTTGTAAGGAACACATATTTGCCTCTGAAGTTCAGATCTGTATATTGCTGCTTGAGCTCGGTCACTGTGGGATCCCTGTACATACCAACTTGAAGAAGCAGCTTGCAGCTGATCAGATGTCTCTAGAAGTCCAGCAGCAAACTTCAGTGACTACCTCAGGATAGAGTCAATTGTTAAAGGAGAACAAACTTCTTGGGGAGAATTTGGCAGCTACACTGGCCATCAGAAGTGGGTTGAACATAAATTGTCATTTTTTAGTTCAACATTTCTGGATATGTAGCTGAGCAATAATTCTCTTGATAAAGCATCCTTTCCCTTTCCTTCAAATCATAATGTTTGGTGTATTCTCTTCTAGTGTCTTAAGACAAAACACCTGATAGGCGTCACTAGTATTTTAGAACTTACATTCCTAGAAAGCTCTCCTGTCAGATCCTTTAGCACACATATCCACATGCTGAGAAGCTCTGTGAATGATGCTCTGTGGTGGCACACTGTTAGGAAAGTGTATTTCCTCTCCTACTTGCTCTTAGTCATCCTAGTACTTGGTACCATTTTTGCACAATTGCAAACACAAAATCTTGCTCTGTAATCTGACCATTGTTCTAATTAATAGTGGCAATTATTTAGAAGATTTTAGGTCATTTTTGAGCTTTCGTACATGTGTATATCATATGTTGGGCATTTTCCTCTTCACATTCCCCTGCCCTCCCTTTTTACCTTTTCCCATTAGCCCATTTTTGTTTCCCTACACATTTTAATTCCACATTAGGGTAAAAGTATCTATCTTATATATGCATATAAACTCCAGAAACCACAAACAAGAGAAAATATGTAATGTTCATCTCTCTGAGATTGACTTAATTCACTTAATATGATCATCTCCTGTCGCGCGCAGCCTTTGCCGAATAAGGATGACGCAACACAACGAGGATTTGTCCAGCGCAACTTTACTTGAAGCTCTCGAGTACAGATGGAGAAGGACCCCTAGCTCTGGGGACGCGCTGCTTATATAGCTCTCCCAGGGCGGTGTCCGTCTGCTATTGGATCTCTGCAGATCACCCTAGGGGCTGGGTATCTCTGATTGGAGACTATATTCAGTCTCAATTAGCATGTCGTGAGCGCATGCGTATGGATGAAGCCGAATCAGGCAAGAAGAACCAGGAAGCAGGAAACCGGCGCCATCTTGTAATGGCGGGGCGGCTCCCGACAAGGGAGCCCACGGTAGGAACTCAGGGCAGGAACCTGGAGGCAGGAGCTGGAGCACAGGCCATGGAGGAACGCTGCTTACTGGC